AGAAGGATATCATGTTTGGTAAGGTGGAGGGTCATAGAAAAAGAGGAAGACCTCCAACGAGATGGATTGGCCAAGTGACAGCATTGATGGACTCAAGCATGGCAACAGTAGTGAGGTTGGCTCAGGATCGGGCAGTGTTTCGTTCTGCAGTGCATAAGGTCGCTACGGGTTGGTACCCACTCGGTGGCACCCAACAACAAAGAGGACTTTCCCTTCGGCTCAGGCACTTGCCTGGCCACCCTGCGCGGCGGGGTCCTGAGGCACTTTGTGGAAGCGCTGCGATTGGCTGCGGCGCGTGACTAACGCTTGGATCCTGCACTGCTTGACAACCGCAGTCTGCGAGAGGCTGAGCTGAGCTGTTGCCCGCCTGGAGGGACAGGGGAGAGGAGGGACAAACTGATGGATTGACGCACGGGTGGCAGGAGGGAGGAATTACGCCAAGCCCAGACTGCCGCCCTTGCACTCCCATCCCAGCCGGAGCCAACCGCTTTGGGGGCCTTGTCGCTGGCCTTTCAGCCGCTTTCGCCTCTGCCGCTTCTCCGGACTAGACCGGAGCCTTTCAGGTGAGTGCCTAGGAGAGGCAGAGGCGGGGTCCGGCTGCGCTGCACATCTCGGGTTGCCATGGTCACCCGTCACCACCTGTCACTAGCCGCCAGGGTTGGACTCAAGTGGCCCCAAAAGCTGCATTCGCCGTCCCGGAGAAGGGTCTCGGCTAGGCTTGGGTGCTGACTCCATGGGATCTGGGTTTTGGGTGAGGCCCCGGAGCCGCCGGATGAGGAGATGGAAACTGCAGGGCCCTGATCCGAGACCGACGCTCTGGCACCACACCTTCTGCATATTACCCGTGACGCCCCTGGCTCTGGCACTGCCCGACCCTGAGCAGTAGCCAGTGCGGACTGGTGCCCACCTCACTGCTGCTGAGAGGCCGAGGGGGGCTGACTATGCTGTTTCTTTCTTCCTCGCCACTCTGCGAATCCGTGGGAGAACTGAGGAGCAGGCTCCGGTGCCTTCCGGGGCATGCCTTGGCCGAGAGGAAAGGAGAGAGTGGCGGGGTTCGGAGCAGAGGAGCAGCGTGGGGCAGCCCTGCAGCGGCTGGGGTCAGCCTTTCTTACGTCGGTGACCAATGTGAGCAGGCCTTTGGGGGTCTTGGCACAATCTGGGCAGAGGATCTGGGACTCGATTTGGAAAGGCGGTTGTGCGGGGGACGCCTGCGTAGAAGAAACGGGTGGTTTTGGGGTTAAGTGCTTTCCTCATATTAGGGAGAAAGATTAAAGCTCTAGCTCTGGGGCGAGGTCTTGGGAAAATGGGGCGGGAGTACACAAGGACAGCAATTGACCGGATGATTTTTCTTCTGGGTACCCAGTCGTGCAGTTAACAACCTCGCTTTGTAATAGAGGGGATCTTTTTTTTTTTTTGGCAACTTGGATCTCTCTGCATAATGAAAGGAGAAGTCTTTGTTCCACCCTAATTCATAGGTTGTGATCCTAACACCTATTCCACCCCCCCTTTGTTGTAGACTTCATAGAATGCTTAAAGAAGTTAATGGCACGGGAATTAACATGTTGGATTTAAATACGTTATCAAAAATTTTAAGGGTAAATCCAAGTAGAATGGTTTTGTTAACAATGCTGGCATGTGTAAACAATATTGAAATTTTTTAGAAAGGAGAAATGCCCAAGAACCCATTTTCCTTTAGTATATTTTTTAGGTCTCATTTAACAGGAAGATGCACTGAATAATTTTACCTCAGTTTTGAGGAAGAAAAAAAAAATTTTTTTGAACAGTGATTGGGAAGGATAAGTAAGGGATAAAGTAACAGTAGGGTTGGATAAAGAACACAATACTTGAATTTGTGTGCCATTAAGGGTATGTAAATTGTTGGATTTTAACGTGTGATTATTTCTCAGTCATCCTCTTCCTAGTTCTTTCTTCCTTTTTTTAATAAAAGCTAGTATTAGGAATGAATGTATTATAGGAGAACGGGATACTATCATATGTGCCTCATCATAGCACTGTGTGTAGCCGCTTTTTTTTGTTTGTGAAATCAAGTTTATTAGTTACTTAAGAGAGTAGACAGCATGTGATATTCTTGATATATTCTTCAGTTTGAGAAACACCTCAAAATAAATATGAAAAGAAGTGCATTTTTTTTCTTATTGATCTGTAAGCTGGAAATCAGATTGTCTGGATTTGAGCTTTCCTTTGCTGTTGATTAGTCTTGGAAGACCCACTCTGTAATTTTCAGATCTGTAAAATGTGCATGATATCTGCCATTGCTTTAACCTACAAGTAGGTTCTGAGGTTGAATAAAACAATGTATTTGAAAGCACTTTGGAAAAAAATTAAGGCATCTGTTGATTACCTTTTAAACATTGATAAGAGTAATAAAAAATTTCTGCACAAGCTATTTAGCATTTCTAAGTACATGGCCTTATTTCTTACAATGACTCCAAAGGTTTATGGAAACTGTTGAGGTGTATTCCTACTCCTTGCTGAGGTTGTTAATTACTGTGTGTGAAAGAGAGAAAAGGGTGCTTTTCTCTCTTAACATGGGTTAAGGTTTCTTTCCTGCTTTCAATATGATGTTCTTCTATAATAGAAAATAAGTCTATGGCAAATAACTTTTACTTGAGTTACATTTGGTGCTAAATAATCCTCAGTGTGGATCATTGCATATCTAGCTTTATCTCTGCTTATCTGTGCTTTTCAAATTGGAGTATTTGAACTCTTGGAGATTTACTGCAATGTAGCAAGAGATTCATTATGATACCTGTAGTCACATAATATGAAATACAATTAATGGCACTGTTGTCAATTTCATTTGAATGCTTGAGTAAGAAAGTAGTGTTTTTTGTTTACTAGAGCACAAAAAAGATGATATGGAAAATGCAATCTTCACACTATTTTTAAGGTGAAATTCAAAGACTTCAAAGAAGTTTTATGCTTATGGGTTCCCTGGGAATGTATTCCGTTTATTTAGTACTGCCCTTGAAGAGAAAAGTTTAAGAAACATTGCCATAGACTTCACCTCCAATGAATGGTAAATCACTACATAGCACAGGAAAACAGTCGAGTTCCAGTTAATAAAACTTTCACATTAGGTTTAAGATGGCTTGAATCCTAGCGATCCCTCCTGTTTTTACCTCTGAAAAAGTAAGAATGTTGTAGTGGAAAGGTCACAGAATTTGTCAGCTAAACCAGGTTGTCCCATTCTGGGCTCTGTGCTTTTTTTTTTTTTTTTTTTCCAGTATTAATACCTTTCCCTTTCTATCTCTCTCTATGTTATTAATAATCCTTCAAAGTCACCTTTAGTAGAAAACCTCCACTCCCTCTCTGAGCTACCATGGCACTTTACATTTATATATTTCTCTTATGGCACTCTTTATTATATGTTTATATTTTATGTGTATTACTTTGTATGGATGTTAATATCTTTGGTTGGACTCCTTGTGGCCAGAACCCATGGTCTATCATTGGTACTTCTACCCCTCACAGCGGGAGTACAATACTTTGCACAGAGGTTTTTAATGAATGTTTGTTGAAAGACTGAAAGAACTAAATACATGATTTATAAAATAAGGATAAAGTGAAAGGAGTGAAAGAGTTAGGTGGCTTGTCATGTAAGGCAGGAAAGGCAGGTTCAGGCATGAGATCCTATTTGGTTAGAAGCTACTTAGATACTATTTAGTAGGTTCTCATGCCAGAACTTGCCTTTTGAGTGTTGAAAGATTGAAAACCAGTTTGGGAGTTTTGTTTGATTAGAATTTTAAGGTAAGATTTAAGTAATAGAACTATTTTTTCTTTCCATTTAGTTTATATGGATTTTAAAAAGTTGTTGTTAGGTGCCATTGCATTGAGTTGGTTTCAACTTTTAGGAACCCTGGTGGGTTTGAACTGCTGACTTTGTAGTTAGCAGTCCAGTGCTGATCTTACAGTTCCACACCAAGAATAGTTTTTAAAATTAGGGCTACATAAAAGAGAATATAAAATTTTTATATAGTTCAAATTATTTTTTTTCTCTATGGCTGTGCATCATGCTTTGTGACTCTTAATTTATTGGGGAACAAAAAGAACTTTATATAAAATCTTTAAGAGAATGTTATAAAACTCAGCTAAAATTAAAGTCTCTGTGTCTAATTTTACTTTACTTTTTTTTTTCTTTTTTTGCATTATTTTAGAAACTTGAAGATTAAATTGGGTTCACTCCAACTTAAAAAAAAAAGCAAAAGGGAAGTAAACTGGAATGTACAAAAGCAGACTTTCAGAGAACAGAGGATAAAGCAACTAGGTGTGTTCATTGTAAAGTGGTACATCATGAGAAGTGTTAGTTTCACTGTATAGATTACTGATCAGATCACTTTTGAACCTATTAATAGGTTCTTTAAGAGGGAAATTAACAAATGTTGAGAGGACTCTGGTGGCGAATCTGGAAGCTATGTTTTATGAAAAATGCCTGAAATAAGTAGAGGAAGAGGTGATACTTGTTTGACTTAAATGTGCAAGTTTTTAACCTAGCAGTCTTGTAGTCTGCTGCCCCTGTAGACAAAACTATGTGTGAAACTTACAAGACAGTAGAGTTCAACTCAAAATTAGAAAAAATCTTTTATACTGGTCCAAAAATTGAGGACTTTTTATATGATATGTTGCAGCATAACAAATTACCTCAAAACTTACTGGCCTAAATAAATATTTATTTATTTTTTTACCCTCAAAAAAAAATTTTTTTTTAAAGTTTTTATTGTGAATTGTGATAGTTTACATGGGAGAGCGTTAGCTTTACATTTATCCTTTCATAATTTCATTTCATTGCAATGATTACAATCCCCTCCATGCATTATAAAACAGCCAAAGGGTACACTCGCAAGCCTGCCCTCCCACCCCCCAGCACACAGCCCCTCTCCCTCCCTGAGTCCAGAGTCTCCAGCCGCTCCATCTCTCCACATCATCATCTCTGCCTCCATCTCTGGTGTCACTGTTTCTCTGGGTAGGGTCCACACTCCGCTCCTCTCTCTTGATGGTCCCAGGGACGTCCGCTCCCAGACTGCAAAATCAAGCACTCGCCTCCTTTTTTTTTTTTTTTTAACAGAATGTCTACCTTTACATTTTCAACCCTCTTAGTCATTCCTGATAGCAATTATTCACTATTGAACCACAAGAGTCTTATCCCCATCTCCTTTTATCAGCCCCATCCAGGCAGATTGGAAACCACTCAGTGGAGAGGCTACCTTCCCCCGCACCCTCTGGAAATAGGTTCCCCCTTGAAAGCTTGTAAGCCAGTCACTTCTTGCCTTTGTAGGCCTCCCCCCCACCCCTTTTTGGGTAGCCAATGTCTAAGCTGCCCATCTCTGTCAACCCTGCATACCGAGGGGGTGGGAATGATCCTCGCTGTAAAGATTTGTTCCCTCTTAGCAACTATTTATTATCTCACAATTTCTGTATGCCTGGAATCTGTACACAGCTTAGCTGTGTGCCTCTAACTCAAGGGCTCTCATAAAAGTTGCAGTCAGGCTGTTACAGGCTGTGGTCTTACCCAAAGATTCAACCGGGAAATGATCTGCTTCCA